TTCTCAAATAAAATCCGATTAAAGTATTTCTTATTGACCAGGAAACTCGTGTCTTCCGACGGCACATCTTGTGATGAAGAATCTGTCATTTTCCCAGCTCAGAGAAAATTGTTGCAAATTATAACGGGGAGTGACCCTCGACGACGAAGCGGGGGCTAGTTTGAAACCAACGCTACATTTAACAAAGCGGCAGCGAAGCCAGAGAGCCGAGCAAATTACCTGCCACGATTCCGGGCCGGGATTTTGCTCACGCTAAATTAAACAACAAACACGGCCGCCCTAATACAGATGAATAAATTAAACCTTATCTCCAGGTTCCCAGTATCAACGTTGCCACTTTTAAGTCATTCTGCATAACTCGTCTCCAAGATTAATACCGCTTGCACCAGGCCACAATGGGGAGGGAATAACTAATTGTTGCGCGAGGTGCCAAAAACATGCCCGCATTTAGAAGGGGGAGGTTTTTGTTGGGGTATCATCGCTGGTTCGTCTCCGAGTTCTTTATAACGTGATTTATTGCATTTCGCAAAAATGAGGTTTGGCTTTTGTGTTATGCCTTAATGGTTGCTAATTTTCGTGGACTATAGTGAGACAGTTTTGTGGCATCTTTCATTGCGGAAGTACACAAATTTAGAGAGAGATTATTCACATGTAATAGAAGCAATAAAATTTTTAAAAATTCAATTTTAATTTAATTTTATGAATTAATAAGTTTTGAACTGATTTATTAGAAGTAAAATTTAAAGTTAATTAGTTAAATTAACCATGTATTAGTTGTTGTTGTGTGTGGGGACGTAACAATAGAGTGTTAAAACGGGCAAATTGCCACGGGGTCCGGCCTGAGCAGAGATTGGTTTGGTTTAGTTGGTTTCGTTGCTCTACGGTCATTTTTTGCACACTTTAGGGTAATAAGACCGGGGCATACTGTTAATGTGGATTCCGAACCACTCACAAGCATCTATGCCACCGCCAGGATACGCGGCTATGAGAGGCTACGAGTACAAGAAAGGCCTGACATTTATTATTACAAAATAAAGAACTATTTATTAATTCTATTTATTAATTAAATTTAAATTACTAAAGAGATAAATTTAAAAAATATATGTATCAAGATTTTGATCGTATTCATTTGTACGAAAAATATATCGCATCTGACAGTAATAGTAATAAGAGTTACGTACAGGTAATTCCGATGCTAGGGACTTACCCGATTTCAGATTCGTGAATAGGTACTTGCAAAATAAGAAGCGGTAAACAAAAATAGTACGTATTTTAGGTAGTATTTTATTAAAACGAAAATATAAAGATGATACTTTGCATTGAGGGACCCACATTCGAAAAATTTGTCACGGGTTTCAGATGGTACAGTTACGCCAGTAATTGTGTGACATATTTTTATGATAATACGTGAAAAAATTACCTAAATTAGCATTAAAAAAGGATTATATATTTTAATATTACAATTATATATTTTAATAATATATTTTAATTATTTATTTTGATTATATAAATAATTATATGTTTTGATAATATATTTTAACTATATATTTTGATTATATATTGTTATAAATTTGTATTGGTTTGAGTATTTTGTCCAATTTCAAATGCGAGTTGTTAATCTATTGAAAATATTTGGAACGTTAGTGAAAAAGTAATTTTTTTTTCCTATTATACACAACTAAGGAGAAAAATTTGTAAAAGAAATGATAAGGAATATACGAAAATTATTATTTTTAAATCGTTTTTCTTGGTTTTTTATTATAAGTGCTTTATCTCTAAAAGTTTAAATCTCTCCATTCAAATATTCAAAAAAATCAATTTGCTAACTTACTTTTAAAATTGGCAGAAAACGAAACCTTGATAAAAATAAACTTGTTATCGATGAACCAAGTTATTTAAAAATACGTGTTTTTTTCCCAAGACAGATCTGCTAAGATGACCTTTTAAAATGAAAAAAATTAAAAAATCAGTTCAGAATAGGAGCACATTAACGGAATGAAAATGTTTGCAGCATTTTAGAGTATCATATTTTAAAAGCTATTAACTTTTGATATGAAATAACAACTTAGACTGAGTTATATCTGACCTGCGACATAACTGGGGCTAAATTTCTTTTTAGCCCAGATTTCTTTCTAATTGCTCTAAAATGGCTCCCTCTAAATGGTAAATGGCTTTAAAAAGAAATTATCAACAGATTTACCAACTCTTTTAACTCATAAATTAAAGATCAGATATAAACGTTCTTAGTGTTTAATATTTAAAAACAATTTTGCTTGCTTGTAAGACATACATTATAATAACTGTGAGGAAATTAAGAAATATTTATTTCCTCAAATTTCAAATCAAAATAGAACGAACGTGGGGTAGTGTACAGTTTTAAAATTTGTAATAAAGCAAATAATATAAACCATCAGTTTGAGATCAGACAAAAAACCGGAGAATTTATGTTCTATCAAATCTCTCGACATGTGGCTCAGTGTAGGAGGGTTAAAATTAATCCATACTACACTTCTTTAAGAAATGAGCATATTCGACAGTACGAGTGATTAATCGTCTTACATCGACATTGAGTTTCTATTTTTTCCAGGGGGGGGGAGCGGTTTGTCGCTCTACGGTCATTTTGTGCACATTTTAGGCTAATTACACCGAGATCTACATTTTAAAGTGGATTTCGAACCCACTAATAAATATGCATGCCACCGCCAGGATTCGAATCTGAAGCCTGTGGTAACAACGGCCGCTAGCCAATTGGTGAAGACTAAATATCCCTAATTTTATTGATGAACTGTTCGGAATGTGAATTAGTAGAATCAGAATCCTTAGCATAATAAAAAAGTATAGTGTGTTAATTCTCTATTAGATAGAACTAAAAAATACACAAGATTTCCGAAATAAAGTTTGTAACTAAAATAATTAGGGATTCAGAATTCTCTTTAAACATTAGGCCCTTGTCTATTATGACTACAGAGCGTTGGGCTGACAATCCTACTATGTAACCATCTACACCTTCTCTTATCTCGGAATCTGCCAGTAGGTAGAACTCCTTGGCCCAATATGGGCTGTAGGGCCAGGGAATCAGTTAGCTAAAATAATAAACACTTTCGTATTTTCATTTCAATACTATCAATGTCGACGCTATGATATCTCATTTTCATCATTTTAAGGTGTCAACTATTCCGACATCGTTAACCCCTCCTAATGTATGTACACATTTAGACTATTGATCGCCGCTGACTTATCCAAACATTTACCTGTAAAATGATCTCTCCCCTTTTAACCATTCCGCAATCCCAGCCCCCCAAACTCAATTTGTATACTCAACAACGAATCCATAAGCAATTCCATCCTGAGGCAATCACCGTCCATCTCGGGTCCATTGTCCGGACATTAATACCGCCTTTGTGACCACACCACGTCCATCGATTCCGCCCCCGCGATGACAGGAGGGACGCCAAGTGAAACTTAATTACCAACTGAAGAACGCCGCGTCCCAACCTCATCAACAACGCATTAGCGACACAAACCCCTTCTTCCCTCTGCATAATAATGAAAAGGCAAGAAAATCAACTGTAACAAAAGTCTTTTCAACCCTGGAAGAAGCGATTCTGGGTTTCCGAGGTAAAATGCGTGGAACCTGAGGAGATGGTAAATGAAGTATTAAGTGGTGGGTAGCTTATTCTGTTTTTCATTATTATTATTATAATTATTCGCCTTATTTGGTGCAATAATTTCGTTTTTTGTCAGAAGAAATTGTAGCAATTCCTTTCTTTCTTTTTTTTTAATGTGTGTTTACCTTAATCCTTTCTCTAGTGAGTACATTAAAGAAAAGATAACAATTTTGGGGGGATTACTCCAATATTCTTCGCAGACTCGTAATTATATGTTGGAAAAGTTATAATGAGTGCTTTCGTCGCCCATTTTCTTCAAAACTAATATCGTTTTATTGTGGCGAGGACGTCCATTCAAGCACTTTACAAGGAATGCTTCGTTTTGTTTAGTTTTAGCGACATTTGTTTATGTAGATTAAAAATTTATTCTTGTTGAATGCATTAATTAAAATAATGAAGAAGTGGTTAATATACAATTTTAAATGAAAGTAACATTAAGTAGTAAATAAAAAAAGCACTATTATTTTTCAGTTGTTGAAAAGCATGATAATTATTTGAAGCATGATGAAAAGCATGATAATCATTTGAAGCATGATGAAAAGCATGATAATCATTTGAAGCATGATAATCATTTGAATCATGATGAAAAGTATGATAATCATTTGAAGCATGATGAAAAGCATGATATCATAACCATAGAAGATTCTAATATTCCATTAAGTGTACCATTGTAACCATGCTTCCTCCTACACCTTGGCAACAGTGCCCCCTTTTGCGTTCACGAGAAAGTTGGCAGAGAGTCAGTTGGTGAAGAGATTTTTTGACGCCAAATCCCAACGGCCTCTAATCTGCGATTTTACCAATAATTATTATTTATGACTATAATAATAAATAATTATATATTTTTATAAGTTGTTTTTGTTTATATTAAATAAAAGCTAATGAAGGATATTATAAAAAAAAAATGTAAACCATAATTTTTTTAAAGAATATAGATAAATATTTATGTACTTAAAAGCAACATTCCGAGAATTTTTTCTCTGCATCAAATTGAAAAAAGGAATATAAAAATTGGACTTAATATAATTACAGTTTATAGTTAAATTAAAATTATATTTTAAAAAATTAATAGTTTAAAAAAACTAAGGGTGGGGTGCTCGATATCAATCGTTATAATTTTTCACTTTTTTACTTTTTAGTTTGATTAACTCTAAAAGTGTGTTTTTTAGTTTTTTTAAACTATTAATTTATTTTTTACTTTTTAGTTTGATTAACCTAAAGGAATGTTTTTTAGTGTTTTTAAACTATAATTTTAAATGAGGTCCTGGTACGGAGGACTGGCTCTTACAATTATTTAATTGTGAGTAAAGCAAAGGCTAAATGCGAATATGTCGAGCCAGCCTGGATTCGAACCGGGAATCTCCTAATCCGTAGTCAGGCGCATTATCCGTTTTGCCGCTGTCCCACGTAGGTTTGAATGTCTGAAAGATGTCTGTAAATGTTTCTTTGCAGCTTAAATAGTGTGTATGAGGAGAAATAGATCTCCAGGGGAAAAAATGATGCGCCGATTAAGATGACTTTTCAAAGGTTGTGTGTTTTAATCACTAATCCTGGTGATCCTAATCATGATGAGATAATAAACTTATCAAAATATTTTATTGTCCTCGGTCCTTGATAAGTCTACAACGTTTAAATTAAATCGGATCGCTTAAAGTAGGGCAAAATCGAGCCCAAAGAGTCAGTTACAAACATACATACATACATACATACATACATGCAGGTGAAACTAATAAAATCGTATTAAAAAATAAAAACACATCTTGATTTGCAATACACAAAATAACAAAATAATACTGCAAATAAATATTATAACTATACTATGACAATGACACAAATGCTCCAAATTTGGTCACTACCCTAAGACCATTCGGGAATTGTCCCTTTTGAGGGTCTGCCAATTGGCTACCGCCAAGAAAGGGATGGGGGTTATTTGCATTAGCGACACAAACCCCTTTTTCCCTCTGTATAATAATGAAAAGGCAAGGAAATCAACTCTAACAAAAGACTTTTCAACCCAGGAAGAAGCGATTCTGGTTTTCTGAGGTAAAACGCATGGAACCGGAGGAGAAGGTGGGGGTAGCTTCATCCGTTTTCTATTATTATTATTATTATTATTATAATTATTCGCTTATTTAGTGCAATAATTCCCTTTTTGACAGAAGAAATTTCAACCATTCTTTTCTTTTTTTCTTTTAATTTGTGTTTACCTTAATCCTTTCCATTAAAGAAAAGAGAACAATTTTGGGGATTGCTCAAATATTCTTCGCAGGTTCCTAATTATACACTGAAGTGACAAAACTCATGGGATACCTCTTAATATCGTGTCGGCCCTCCTTTCGCCCGGCGAAGTGCAGCAACTCGACGTGGCATGGACTCAACAAGTCGTTGGAAGTCTTCTGCAGGAATATTGAGCCATGCTGTCTCGATAGACGTCCATAATTGTGAAAGCGTTGATGGTGCAGGATTTTGGGCACGAACAGACCTCTCGATGATGTCCCATAAATGCTCGATGGGATTCATGTCGGGCGATCTGGGTGGCCAGATCATTCGTTGGAATTGTCCAGAATGTTCTTCAAACCAATCGCGAACAGTTGTGGCCCGGTGACATGGCGCATTGTCATCCATAAAAATCCCATCGTTGTTTGGGTACATGAAGTCCATGAATGGCTGCAAGTGATCTCCAAGTAGCTGAACATAAGCATTTCCAGTCAATGTTCGGTCCAGTCGCACCAGAGGACCAAGTCCATGCCATGAAAAAACAGCCCACACCATTACGGAGCCACCACCAGCTTGAACAGTGCCTTGCTGACAGTTTGGGTCCATGGCTTCGTGGGGTCTGCGCCACACTCGAACCCTCCCATCAGCTCTTACCAATTGAAATCGTGACTCATCGGACCAGGCCACGGTTTTCCATTCATCTAGGGACCAACCGATATGCTCACGTGCCCACGAGAGTCGCTGCAAGCGATGTCGTTCTGTCAGTAAAGGCACTCGAGTCGGTCTTCTGCTGGAATAGGCCAAGAAAGCCAAATTTCTCCGCACAGTTCTAACAGACAAGTCCCTTGTACGTCCCACATTGATTTCTGCGGTTATTTGACGCAGTGTTGCTTGCCTGTTAGAATTTACGACTCTTTGCAGACGTCGCCGGTCTCGGTCGTTAAGTGCAGGCGGTCGACCACTGCGCTGTCCATGGTTTGATGTTATGCCTGAAATTTCATACTCTCGGCACACTCTTGACACAGTGGATCTGGGAATGTTGAATTCCCTAACGATTTCCGAAATGGCATGACCCATGCGTCTAGCTCCAACTAACATTCCGCGTTCAAAGTCTGTTAATTCCCGTCGTGCGGTCATCATCACGTCAAAACCTCTTCACATGAATAACTTGAAGAGAAATGAAAGCTCTGCGAAAGCACTGCGCATTTATACCTGTTCTACGCGATGCTACTGCCATCTGAAAATTTGCATATTGCTATCCCATGACTTTTGTCACTTCAGTGTATGTTGGAAAAGATATAATGAGTGGTTTCGCCAAGTTTCTTCAAAACTAATATCGTTTTATTGTAGCGAGGATGTCTGTTCAATCACTTTACATGGAAGTGCTTCGTTTAGTTTAGTTTTTGCAAAATTTGTTTTGTAGATTAAATATTTATTATTATTGAATGCATTAATTAAAATAATGAAGAAATGGTTAAAATTCAATTTTATATAAAAATAATATTAAGTAATAAATCAGAAAAAAATTACTTTTCAGTTGTTGAAATGCATCATAATCATTTGAACATTAAAGACTTGTTTGACTTGTTTTGTCTCTCTACGGTCATTTTGTGCACACTTTAGGCTAATTAGACAGGGACCTACAGTTTAAAGTGGTCACGTAATTATTTGGTATAACTATTATTTATATAGCTATTCCTAATTTCTTGCAATCTTTACTATCATAATGAACCGTCCTTCATAAATAATATTTTTTCAGCAATTTTTGTTGGAAATCGAAATGTATTCAACAGGATATTTGATTTTAATGCAAATGGTCAAATTCTATTAAGAAAATATTTTACACGAAAAAAGTCCATTTAACAGTTAACCTTACATATTTTCTCACCATAAAATAAAATAATTATTTTAATAAATAATTAGTAAAAATTGCAAAATAGGGGCCGTTGGAGTTTAGCGGTTTTTTTTATGGCGCCAACGTGGTGATAAGTCACCAAATGTGATTTCTTGTACTTCACTTTCAATCATAACCCGTAACTTGGCGCACTTTGGCGAAAAGAGTTTTTGACGCATATTCTGCGATTTTACCAATAATTATTATTTATGACTATAATAATGAATAATTATATATTTTTATAAATTGCTTTTGTTTATATTAAAGGAATGCTATTGAAGGATGTTACACAAGCAAATAATTTAAACTATAATTTTTTTTTAAAGAATTTACATGAATATTTATTTAATTAAAAGCAACACTTTCGAGATTTTTTTTCTCTCCATCAAATTAATTAAGATAAAAATTGGACTTAGTATAATTACAGTTTAATTTAGCATGATAAAAAGCACATATACATGTCTCTTGCTTTGCAATATACAGATCAACACAAATGCTCCAAATTTTGTCATTACTCTTAAAGCAAACGGTGATTATTCCTTTGGAGGTACCGGCCAATTGGCGACAGCCAAGAAAGACAATGGATCATTTGCACACTTGTTACATGATCGTACTTGGCGAAAAACGGATTGTACTTGCATGATTAAGATTCATTCTATTAATTAAAAGTAACTAAAATTATTTAAAAGTAAATGAATAAACAGTTAATTAATAGCAAATAAATTAACAATTATTTTACAATAAATAAATATACATCATTATGCACATAAAAATGAAGGAAAATTAAAGAATCAATCTACGCTAAGAAATACACCGGTTCCTGAATATTTAATTCATTAATATCAACTAATACTAATTAATTCACAAATTATTATCAACTTTAAGTAGATGCATACAAATTTAGTACAAAAAAAAATTGAGCAAACGAAACATCTGAAAGATTAAGTAAAAACTGTGCAAATGACCCATAGTCTTTCTTGGCGGTCGCCAATTGGCCAGCACCTCCAACCGAATAATAACAGAACATCAATTCAAAAACTCAGTCCTAATTCAGGCTACCTTTTAGCGGCATATAAAAATGGCGACTTTGTGACGCTAAAATTACGCCAAACAAAATGACTTGTTTAAACGAATTCCAATCAAAATAAATACCATTTACAACTACAGTTTAAAATGGTAAATCTCCAACAAAAATATTTTAAAGCTTGATTATACTAGAACTATATATGAATCTGTAAATTGCAATGTTTACATGAAGCGCTTTTAAAATGGACATAGCAGAGTTATCTGACAATAACATATGCATTTTTCAAATCTTGCCATTTCGCCCACTCAAAGCAAATGGAAGACATTGGCTGGTCTTAAAGATCGCCAAATTACAGCAAGATGTTGTGCTTTCTCTCGAAGCCACTACGTGTCCGGTCTGTTTAAATACCTCCAGAAAACGCCAATCGAAGTCGGGGACCTAATCAGCGAACAATTAGAAGAAAGTTCCTTCCCGTGTAGGCTTGAGAGACGGTCGTTGTTGCTCCAATTTATTAGCTTACGGTGTTTACTAAAGAAGGCGCAAGTGAGTAGGCCGAGTACGCTTAGGCCGGTGGCAATGTCTTTTTGATGAGATTTCCGCGGAAGTGCTTCTTCGGGAAAGAACCGTTTTGTGGAGAGGGATGTTCTAAATTAGAGCTGGCCTTCGTGCAAGGGGGGAGAGTCAGAGCAGGGGATTTCATTAAGAACGTATTTAATTAAAAGATCGAGAGTTAATGTTCCTATTAAATGAACTCAAAAATGTACTCTTGGAAAATATTCTTTGTGAAAGGATTGTTTAATTTGATCGTTGTATTGAATCCGAAGATTGACAATGATATATATGCATTTTGTTTAAGTTATATATAAATAGCTCTATTAGTTGCCTAATAATATTTTTTTATGCAAGAAGGCTAGAACTAAAACTTAACTGAACTAAAATTAGGGCTAGAACTAAAGCATAACCTAGGTCTAGATCTAGGATTAAGACTTGAATTCTATAGCAAATAAAAATGAGCATAAGTATTTGTTATAATCTCTGCTTTCAGATAGACAGACTTGCTACAGACTCGATTGTGACAACGTGTGTAAAATGTCTCGATTTGATAACCATGCTGTTTGGTAGGAATTTGCAGGTTTTCTCTCATACTATAAGCAAATGAGAGGTAGTTATCTTTAAAAGTTCTTTTGGAAGGCAATTTTTCTCCTTCGTCACCCGTCGGTGGGTTATCGGTGGCATTCATGAATGTAACAAGGGGTCCACCAGTGTT